TTATTATTATTTGATAATAGTGCTGCATTCCTAAAACAAAAAGACAAACACAAAAAGGCAGTCAGCATGGTAGGGTAAGTTTCCTTCACACTGTGTTATATTATTTATAGTTATTTATAGTCATTTCTCTCTATAAACATAGTTCATGGGCAAACCCAGCCAGAAAAAATATCAAGTAGAATTTTCAACTTCTCTTTTTCTTTTTACTGTGTCTCGTCCTTCCTTTCTTTAACCACTACCACCAAGGAAAATTCTTTTCAATATTTTATTATTTTTGTTTTTATGTGTACAAGTATATTGTTTGCATGTATTTAAGTGCACCCATGTTGTGCAGTGCCCACAGAAATCAGAAGAGGGTATCAGATCCCCTGAAACAGGACTTACAGACAGTTGTAAGCTGCCGTGTGGGTGCTGGGAACCGAACCCAGGTTCTCTATAAGAGCAGTTGGTGTTCTTACCTGCTGAGCCATCTCTCCAGCCCCCTTTTGATAGGTTTTTATCTTACCCATAAGAATTTACTCATAAACTATTGCCTCAACTGTATGAGACAACCACATGCTCTTATATGCAAAATAAATAAAACAGAAGTAACTAAGAGGCTTGGAATTTTTTTTAAAGGTGCTCTGAATTGAACCCACAGTCTTGCACATATTAGGCAAATGTTCTACCTCTGAATAATATGCCTAGCCCCCCTTTAAAATTTTTTTAAGTTTTGAGACAGGGTCTCACTAGGTTGCCTAGACAGGTCTGAACTTGTGATCTTCCTGACTAAGCCTCCTGAATAGCTGGAATTACAGACATGTGCCACTAGGTCTGGCTGGAGTTTGGGATTTATCTCATAGGTTTAAGGGACTAAAGGAAATTTGAGTTGCACTTAGCATGGTCAGAATAACATGGAAAATTAATCTGTGAATGCAAGGTAGACCAGTTGAGAGCTACTTTTAATTTGAAATAGCCTAGACATAAAGTCATCTATGGTCATAGAAACAGAAGATTATAATAATAGACTAAAGTAGAACCAATTATGAGTAAGATGCCTCCTTGTGAGGAACCTGTGGAACCTGAGACCTATACGGAGATGTCAGAATCCTTCTCCCATTTGGGTATATGTAATCTTAGTATATTAGTTTAAGGCCTGCTCTATTGAGATACTCTTACTCTGTTCATATCTCCACACCCACCTACTGCTAACATGTAAAATTGAACTTGAATAAGTTCAATAGAATTGAACTTTAATAAGTTCAGTATACATACTACTTTCTTTTCTTTTTCTTTTAAAGATAGTTATTTTTATTGAAATGTTTCTTTTACAATATTTTTGATCATTTTGAAATGGATTTGAAAGGATATCAGTTACTACATAAAATTTTAAAACAAAAATTTTAAAACAACACTGGAGAGAGGGCTCAGCAGTTAAGAACACTGGCTGCTCTTGAAGAGGACCTGGCAGCTAACAACTGTTTATAACTCCAGTTTCAGGGGATGTCCCCTTTTCTGACCTCTGGGGACATTTCACGACATGGGTGCACTTAGATACATGTAGTAAATACACTCATACACATAAAATAAAAATAATAAGTAAAATATTTTTTAAAATGTAAAGCAATAGTTATGGCATTGCTATTTTTCTTCCATATGTCTTAGTTAAATTTCCTGTTGCTGTGATACCTGAGGGAGAAAGGGGGCATCATGTGGGGAAGGCCTTGATGGCAGGAGTTTGAGGCGGTTGTTCACATTGCATCCGCAGTCCCCACTCAGGATGATGAGTGCTCTACTGTCTTCTTTATGTCTTATACTTTTTTGCATTTACTCATTTTGCTACCTGTCAAAATCCTATACAGTCCCTCCTGATTCAGGTGTTTTCTCTCTCATGAAGCTTCCTAACCTCCAGGAAGGTCATGTATTGCCTTCACTGTATACTTATTTATAGTAAGGTTATGGTGTGTATCTTTGAATGCAAGAACAATTATGCTTGAATTCATTGAATACTTCTATAATTTCTTATATAATACTTAATGAGTATTTGTGAAATAAATGCCTGCAAAAGCCTGCCTCATTTAAAAACAACCGTTATATTGGGATAGAAGGATACATCACCCTTTCTTAGGTTTCTGAGGCATTTCCTTAATGGGAGAGAGGTGGGAGAGTACTACCAACAGTTATTATATTGATTTGTCATTTTGTGTAGAGTATGAAATCCCTTACAGTGCTTAGAAATGCCAGATGTTTACATAATCTCTCCACCAGAACCCACTGTGCTTCAAGTGGGACTTTTAGTTTAAAATTCTGAGGACTGTAACAATGAGGGCAGAGCTTTGTAGATGCATTTAATATATCACCAAATTACTTTTTAACATTTATTCATAAACTTTTATGTTTTCAGTCAGTGATGAAAGTGGTATGTGTCAACAAAAGTAAAAGAATTTCTTAGTAGAACATAATTATTTAGATTTAGAGAAATTAGGGAAGTTTTTTTTTTTTTTTTTAAAGGCTATTTTTCCCTTTTTTTAAAAAAAGTAAAGTGGGGCTGGAGATAGTGTAGTGACTCCCCTTGTCCCTGAAGGACAATAGTGCTCGGCTCACTAGTGGCTAACAGGCTCCTGTCACTTGACTCACTAAGAGACAGATTCCACTAGTATAGAGGCTTGGGGGTGCCCTTAGGATACTGGAAGAAGACCAGGCAGCTGTCCTTGTCCTTAGACATACATCAACGGAGGTCTGTTACTAGACCAGTCTCCATGGCCTTGGGTGTGCTGTGCTTGCTTTCTCACCGTTATGATAGAAAATTCCTATATGTTGTGTGTGAACTTCAAACACTGAGCTTCCAATAAAAGCTCTCAGGAGGGCAGTGAAAGTGCTCCCAAGCAGCATAGCTGGGGGACCCCTAGTCTAATAAGTTTTTTGCCATCGATAAAGTACAGGGGTACAAGAGATGGTCAGTGGTTAAGAGCACTGACTGCTCTTGCAGAGGACCTGGGTTCGATCCCCAGCACCCACATGGCAGCTAACAACTGTCTATAACTCCAGTTCCAGGGGAGTCTAATGCCTTATTCTGACCTCTGCAGGGTATGCATGACATGGGTGCATTTATGTATGTGCAGGCAATACACTCATGCACATAAAATAGAAATAATGAATTTTTTTTTAAGTTAGTAAAGCTGAAAACGACTATTTGTATTTTCTTAATTGAACTGATTGGACTGAAGACAAATGTTTTACTTTCACTTTTTGTTTTTGTTACAGGACCCTCATGCAGAGGAGTTTGAAGACAAAGAGTGGACATTTGTCATAGAGAATGTAAGCTAGTGACGAGTACCTTCACTTTTCACCTTATTAAAGTATTTTGGTGGTAGAAATGTTATTTATGAACAGTTAAGACAGAATTTGTAGGTTTTAGAAGTTCTTATCAATAATAGAGTTATTTGTAAAAAACACTTTTGTTAAAACTTTAAAACACTTTAATAACAAATTGTATCAATACTGCATGTATTTTGTTTATAGCCTGAGGGAAAATCCTTTTCTTATATTTATCTTTTTTGTCTCTTTGACACCTAGCATGGTACTTCCCATAGATGCTTACCTGTTTGTTGAATGAAAGGCATTTGAAGTCTTTAAATATAAGCATGTGCTTTGTATCTTTATTTGGATTGAGAGATTGATATCTTGAGTTATCAGTTTACGTATCATGGCATCCCAAGAGATTTGCAGGTATATAGTAGGTATTCAATAAATGATTTCTGATGGGAGATTAGAAAAAAATAGGCAATAGCAATATGACTATAGGCTCTGGGGGATGGAGCTCATTGTTTAAGAGTGCCCATTCTTTCAGAAGACCAAAGTTCAGTCAGTTGTCAGCACCCTTATCAGGCACTATAAGAAACTCCTGTAACTCTATCTCCAAGGGTCCAATATCCTCTGACCTCTGTGGGCATCTGAACACCCTCCCCATCAATAAAATAGAATAACTCTTAAAAAAAGAAAAGAGTATAGGCTCTGGAGTCAGGTAGACTTGATTTCAGGCCCTGGCTCTTCCAGTTACAAGCTCTCTGATTGTGGGCAAGTTTCTTAACTTCTCAGCTATAAAGTTTTCAACCTGGTGAGAGGATTAAATAATTGTTAGTCGTATCAGCCTTTACTCTTGGTATCATTGCCATAATCATCAGAATTCTAAAACTTGCATGTAGCACGCTTATAACATTCTTGTATCATGCTCTTCCTTTGTGTGCTTGACTTTGCTTTGTATCTCAGTGATAAAAGGAAACTTATATTTTTCTCAATAGTAAATGGACCATTTTTAGGCTTAAAGACTTGGAAAGAGTGGGAGCAAGATCAGGTCCAAATGTGGTTGAATGCTGATGACTGATAGAAGCCACAATCATGCTAAAGTTGCACATGCTTCAACAATTTTGGATTTTGGGTAGTGATATATTTTGGCATAAATTATACCTGGAGTAAAAACAACAACAAAAACCAAAACAAACCTTGACCTATTTAAGTTGGTTACAGGCTTGGAACCTACTATTCCCACATAAAGACTTCTCCCAGTGAATGGCCTTCCAGCTGCTAGTGCAGATGGCTGTTATGTACCGTTGAATCTGTTAACTTGATATATTAAATTAGTTAAATTCAAACTGTAATTAATGGTAAATATTAAAAATCAACTTTATAATTGTTTAGAAAGGTGTTCTTATTATTTAATCTTTGGATAAAGAAAGATTTTTTTTCAATCTTAGGATAAAGAAAAAAACAGAATTTTTTCCAAATTTCTGAAAAGTGGATTATAAACTAATATATAAAGACTCAAACTTAAAGCTCGTGACCTGGAATCAGTTATTCTCTAGGATTGAGGTTTTTTAAAAATTTTATTTATTTATTTTTTATGTGTATGCGTGTATTGCCTGTATGTAGGTAAGTGCACTCCTGTTGTGCAATGCCCATGGAGGATAAAAGAGACTGTCAGATCCCCTAGAACTGGAGTTATGGACGGCTATTGGCTGCCATGTGGGTGCTGGGATTCGAACCCGGGTCTTCCGCAAGAACAGTCAGTGTTCTTAACTGTTGAGCCATCTCTCCAGCTCCTAGGATTAAGTTTTTTTCAGCTATAAAATGAGTCTATTCTAGTAGATGAGTTTAGAGGACTTTTCTAGGTCTGTGTCTTTGTTTTATTTCATAGAAATATTTTAAAACATTTTCATTCGGGGTTGGAGATATGGCTTAGAGATTAAGAGCATTGGCTGCTCTTGCAGAAGACTTGGGTTCAAATCCCAACATCCACATGGCAGCTAAGAACTGTCCATAACTCCAGTTCCAGAGGATCTGACTTCTGCTTGTGTCCTCCACTGGCACTGCATGACATAGGACACAGGTGCAATTACATACATGCAGGCATAACACTCATACACATAGAACAAATAAATAAAAAGTAAAAAAAACCTTACATTTTTATTGATATTTATTTATTGTTTGATTGATTGTGTACATGCCACAACTTGCTGGCATTGTTTCTCTCCTTTCACCATATGGGTCCAGGGTTGTCAGGCTTAGGGGCAAATGCCTTTACCCATTGAGCCATCTTGCTGACCCAAATAGAAATTTTTTTTTTTTGGTCTTTTTGAGACAGGGTCTCCCTGTAGCCCTAGCTAGCCTGGTACTCACTACGTAGACCAGGCTGGCCTCAAACTCACAGAGATCCGCCTGCCTCTGCCTCCCGAGTGCTGGAATTAAAGGCATGCACCACCACGCCCGGCTTGAAATATTTTTATAAACTATATAAAAATTAACTTTTTTCAGATTCATAGTGAATGAAATATTTAAAGAAATTATTTAAGGTGACCGTGTGCATGTGTGTGTATGTATGAGTGTACATATGTGTGGAGACCAGAGGACAACCTTAGCATTGTTCTTAGAAGCCATCCATCTTGGTTTTTTTTTGAGACAGGGTCTGTCACTGTCCTGGAGCTTACCAAGTAGGCTGGACTGGCTGGCCAGCATGTCCAGTGACCTGCCTGTCTCTGCCTCTGCATCGCTGGGATTATAAGTGTGTGCCACTATGGCCAGCAATTTTACATGGGGTTTAGGGTCGAACTGAGGTTCGTGTGCTTGAGCGTCGCAGTTTCCCATACTCTCTTATTTTGTGATGGAGTTTGCAACATTGCCCAGACTGTCCTGAAATTCTGGCACAAGTGACCCTCCTGCCTCAGCCTCCCCAGTAGCGAGGTCCACAGGCGTGTGCCACTGTTTTTGGCTTAGGGTAACATTTTTAATCAGTTAGTAACTCTATATATTTCTTTGAGAAATTCTTATCAGTGTCTTTATATGTTTATGGCTGTGGGTATTATTGCAATTTTTTTTTCTGAATTCCTCAGCACAATTTTCTATACCTTGTTTCTGTAATAGCTCCTATGCCAGATTTGAAAACAAGAAAAAAAATTGAGTAGTGATATAAACTAGATTCACATAAAGGAAGATAATACCTTCTATAGCAGAAACTGAATTTCTTAATCATGGGTTTCAAAGAAAATAATGTCTATCTTTTAAGATCTATTACTGATCAAAACTTAATGGAGGACTGGGAATGTGGCTCAGAGTAAACATTATCTAGTGTGTGGAAAGCCTAGGGCTTAATCCTAGCACAACAAAACAAAACAACAACCCAGTGATGCCTCAGCTTGGTGTACACACCTGTAATTCCAGCACTTGGGCATGAGGCAGGAGGATCAAGAGTTTGAATTCAGCCTGGGCTCCATAAGCAAATCTAGTGAGTAGGTGCCTGACTCAGTAAAGTAAGGTCTAGGGATGTAGCTCACTGGTATAATCTTACTTAGCATGTGTAAGACCTTGGCTTCTGATCTCTAATACTGGGATGGGGTTGGGAAGGAGAGATAACTAATGAAATCTAGGTACTGATAAGCTAATTTGAAGAAAAGAAAAGTTAGCAAACATTGGAGGTTGTAGATAATTCCTCAGCCTTAGTAAGGAAGAAAAAATCATCAGTAATGATGCTTGCTAGAAATGCCATTTTAGAAAGTAACAGTTTTATTAGATAAGTTTGTTATGACTTTATTTTGTTGCCTTATTTCTATCTTTTTAGCAGCATTTTTGTTTGACTTTGTTAAGAGACATTATGAGGGAGTCTGGAAAAATGGTCAGGAGAATTCGCCACACAACTGGGAATCTGAACTCAGATCCCATCACCCATGTAACAAGCAGGCTGTGGTTTACATGTATCTGTAACCCCAGCTCTGTGGGGCTTGAGGCAAGAGAACTGCTGGGGCTTGCTGGCTGCTAGCCTAGCCAACAAAAGAAAAAAAGCTTGAGCTCCAGATTTAGGGGAGAGACCTTGTCTCAAAGGAATAAAGCTGAGAGTGATAGACGAGGACGTGCAGCACCCTCTTCTGCATACTATGCCCCTACACAGATGTGCTGGCTCCTCACACACATGGACACACATACACACAGAGCGTTAGAAAAGAAAGAAACAAAAGACAATTGTGAGTTTTGATCCATTTTACCAGTATAACTTTTTTTTGAAGATTAAAGAGAGAAAGATAAATAGTAAATCCTATACATTATTAGGTTTACCTTTATACAGTTACCAGAATTTTTGTGAAGTTGTTGTACTCTTAATGCATAGGAAAGTACACACATATATATATATATATATTTAAATCTATTGACTGAGGAGAATGTTGTTTGCATGTATGTGCTGTGTGTTCAGGCCCGCAGATGATGTTGGGTATCTTTTTTGACCCGTGTCCACCCTCTATATTGAGGCAGGGTCTCACCTGGCCCCAGAGTTCAGCTCATCTCGCTAGCTAGCTTGATCTAGGGATCCTTTATGTCTGCTTTGCAAGTGTTGGGATTGTAGGTGGGTTGCTGTACTTACCTGACATTGACTTAGGTGCTGGTGATCTGAACTTCAGTTTTCATGTTTGCATGACAAATGCCTTATCTAGTAAGCCATCCCAGTCCAAGAATATGCTATTTAAAGTACTTTAAATGTGGACAGCTTAACTAATTATGAACCACTTAGTGTTACAGGATGATTTTGTAAAACTAAACGTAAAACAAACAAGATAAGTACTATATACTCTCACCCAGAAGATGGACTAGAATTGAGGAAGTCTCTGGCTATTAGTTTCTAGGAGAATCTTAAATTCTGCTGAGACTGTCTTGTATAGGAGAGGCAAAAATAGATTTTGAGAGTAGTTTTCTTCTCTACCTATCCAGGTGTGCTTAACTCCTAGTCCATTTTATGAAACACTAGCCACTTGTTGGTTAAGTAAATCTAACACAGA